TGTTCCTCCCCAGCACTGTTCCCTTCCCTGTATACTGCCAGGGCCGAGGCAGTGTTCTCTGCACCGGGTACCCACCCCCTGCCACCCTTGCCCTCCGTTCTCCTCACTGCAGCCAAAGAGTTCCCTGAAGCGTACATTTCAGGGGATCTTACTATTTGTGCCCCTCCTGGGCTCCCACCCTCCTCAGAAGGCAGCCCCAGCCCCTCAGCAGGGCTCACAGCCTGGATCTGTTCCCCATGTTGCCTCATCCTCACCTCCTCTCACCTGATGTACCCCACCCTTCCTGACCTTGCCAAACATTCCCTGCAGTGCCCTGGTCTTGGCCCTTGGGGGCCTTTCTGCCCCCAAACACCCCCCTTCTTCTTTGCTAGCTCTCCTCCTACTCTTCAGGACTTCCGTCCCACCCTCTACTCCAACTTTGATACTGGCCCCGGTCCCCTGCGGGGTCCCTTGCTGTGCTCAGGAACTTCCCCAGCCCTTCTCTGCCACCACCCTCTCCACCCTCCACTATCTGTTTCCTCGTCCCTCTTTCCTGTTAGACCATGAGTGCTTTAAGGACCCCGGGCTTAGCTCGGTGTCTGGCATGCTAGTGGCGCGCTTATAAGTCTTACATGAGTAGATTCATACATGTGTGAATGCCTTGTGCCATACACTCCTCTTACCTGGTACACAGAGCTATCCTACCTGGTAGCAGAGTTCTGGGGTGTGCATTTACTGTAGCTCTAATTTGTAAAGAAGGAGGGAAAGTGGTGGGTGATGTGAAGGCTATGGAGGAATGCAGGAGCTAGCATGGAGGCTGAAAGCGGAGGCCCTGCAGCCAGGCTCCCTGGGCTCAGATCCAAGCTCTGTCGCTGGCTCATGATATGAGTTTGGGCAGGTCCCCTAACCTCTCTGCACTTCAATTCCCCATCTCTGAAATGGTGACAATAATTGTGCCCTCCTCAAGGTCACGGGGAGGGTTAGCTGCATTCTTGCTTGAAAAGCCATGAAAGGTAGGAATCATTATTCCCATTTTACAGATGAGGAAGGTGAGACTCAGAGCGGTGATGTCGCTTCCCCGAGGTGGAGCAGCTGGCAAGGAGCAGGGCTGGGGTTGGAGCCCAGCCCGTCTCGGTGTGCGCCAAGGGTTAGAGATGCGCTTACCTCTGAGCTCTGAGATTTCAGCCTCTGGATGGAAATCTCCAGAAATATTCTAGTATGGCCTGGAAAAGGTGCTTCATGAGGGTTCTGCCGTAGGGCCTGGCACGTAGTGGGTGCTCGATAAACACAACTCGTATAAGGTGTCCCTCTGAAGAACCCTGTCTAGTCCTCAGCATTTCCTGCTCCCTGAACAATTTCAGGAGGTCTGTGCCCGGCTCCTTTTTGGCCAGGGTGTTGGCAGCAAACTCTTCTTTATTCAGACCTTTCTTCTGTCTCAGCACTTCGTGGGGGAGGGTCATTAAGAAAGCTTTTTCCCAGGAAGAGCTGTGCCTTCTCCAAGTCTCCGGAGTTGAGTGCCCCAGCCCCCATACTCTCAAAGGCTGCCCTTGTGGGTTTCAAAACAACTCTGCAGTCCTGCAGGCTGAGAACCTGGCCCCTGAGCCCCCTTTGCTTTGGATGCCACAAGTCTGTCCCTAGTTAAAGTCAGCATTGGTAGAACCTAAGGACAATAGTTTGAGGATGTTTTCAAATAGTGTCTGGTGGAACAAAAGAGCAATTCATCCTCTGTGGCTTTTAGTAATCTGTTTCCCATTCTGGGAATTAGATTGTTCAATTAAGCGAGAGGGCGCCGGAGCAGGCTGCATGACTCAAAAGTTTGCAGCTTCCAAAGTGTGGAGGAGAGGGGAGCTGAGCCAGCTTGTGCCTGGTGGGCCTGCCCCTCTGCCTCCCTCTGGCTCTGTGCGGGCTCAGCATTCTGTTTCCTGGTTCAGAAAACAACTCCATCAACAAGAAGGCATGTGCATGTCTGTGTGCGCGTGGACCCCACTCATGAGGGACTGTGTGTGTTTTCTCAGTGGCATGCTCAGCTGGTATGGAAGACACCCAGGTTGTTTCCATCTGCCTTGGCCTGATTCCTCCTAGCTTCAGGTTGTCCCTTGTAGTTCACTGACTGAGAGGTGTTGGGGGTGCCTTCTGGTGGCTGTAAGGTAGTAAGCATATGTCAGCCACAAGTTTCTTAATCTGGGGGCAGGAGAGTTGATGGACACCTGGAATTCCTGTAGAATTTTGGGAGCAAGTATATTTCTCTGGGGAGAAAATCCATCCCTTCAGGCTAGTATGTGTGTATTTATTCAATACATACATACATACATACTAGCCAGGTGTGGCATGTGCCTGTGGTAACTTCTCAAAGGATCCATGACTTTCTCCCCAAGTCCCCTCCAAAAAAAAGGGGCTAAAAAGTATTCAGATAGCATTTGTAGGTTATTTCTCCATTATCAGGAAACTCTACTTCTGTGATGCTCATTGCTTACGGTGTATAAGAACTTCTTAGAGACGTGGTAAAATGCAGCTCCCTGGAAGCTGCTTTGCAAAGACTAGGGCTCAGGGGTCAGGGGCTCAGAAATGTTTGTATTTCTGGCAAGTGCCCAAGGACTATACTCTGGGACATGCTTAGTTATAATAATAGATTCTGACCAGGCATGGTGGCTCATGCCTATAATCCGCAATTTGGAAGGCAGAGGAGAGAAGATTGCCTGAGCCCAGAGGTTCAAAACCAGCCTGGAAATCTGGTGAGACCTTGTCTCTACAATAAATACATGTGTACATACATACTAGCCAGGTGTGGTGGCATGTGCCTGTGGTTCCAGCTACTTGGAAGGCTAGGGCAGAAGGATCACCTGAGTCCAACAGGTCAAGGCTATGGTGGCCATGAGTGTGCCTGCACACTCCAGCCTGGATGACAGAGTGAGACTCCAACTCAAATACTACTACTACTACTACTACTACTACTACTACTACTACTACTAGATTCTTGTAAAGGTCTCATTCAATAAAGCCTGTAGTTTTAAAATGTATCAAAGCCAGAGACTGCAAAGACATAAGAAACAGATAAAGAAGCAGTTGCTATCATGACAGCTGCCTTCTTTCCTTCTCAAATAACTTGAACTTTTTTTGGTCCAACTTATCCTAGTAGAGAGCAAGGGCCATATGATGCGTACCTTTCTGTCCTAGGATATAATATGCCTGGTGCATAGTAGGTGCTCAGTAAATGTGTGTTTAAGAAGGTGTTCCCGGCCGGGCTCAGTGGCTCAGCCTGTAATCCCTGAACTTTGGGAGGCTGCGGCGAGTGGATTGCCTGAGCCCACTAGTTCGAAACCAACCCGGGCAACTTGGCGAAACCTCATCTCTACAATAAATAAAAAATTAGCCAGGCGCAGTAGTATGTGCCTGTAGTTCTGGTTACTTGGAAGGCTGAGGTGGAAGGATAGCTAGAGCCCAGCAGGTTGACACTGGAGTAGCCGTCAGTGTGCCACTATACTCCAGCCTGGGCAACGGAGTGAGACTCTAATTCAAAAAAAAAAAAAAATGTTCCCACTAGGTGCTCAGTAAATGTGTGTCTAAGAAGATTGTTCCCACTTCTCCTGGCTATGGGTTTGAGAGCTGGTGTCCTTTGGAGTAAATCCACAGCCGCACACAGTCTGATTTTGTTTGGGGGCCTCCCTGATTTCTCCGACTGAGACTGGGCTTGGAAGGAACCTGTAGGCTAGTGCTAATTGGAGTCATTGAGTAACAAATGCAGAATCAGACCCTGACTGGATTCCCAGGGAGACAGACACTGAGGGTGGCTTTCATGCTTGGTGGGATGGGAGCTCCTTTCTCAAAGGATGTTACCACAGCTCTGAGGCAACTGGCATGGTCTGGTTGGGGGTGGTTTGGCAGCTGGAATGGGCTTCGTGGAGCAAGTTTGGAGGGGATTTGTATTGGTGCCGTGGTGCTGCACAATATGGAACATGGTGAGTTTGACTTTAAAGAAACACAAGCCCCAAGCATGGGCTCTGGGAGTCAGGCCTGTGTCAACGCTAAAGAATTGGTGGGTTCTGAGGGAAGGCCGAGGCTGGAGGCATTAGCTCAGCACACCTGGGCCCTCTCCTTCCTGTGGCCTGGGCCCCTGGGACGCCCTTACAATTTGGCGTGATAATCAAGCCTCCCTATGATGCCTCCTCTGTTTCCCTTTCCTGATGTTTCCTTCTGATCCTTGTGCCCCGGCTTGCTGTTCCCAAAGCATACCATGTTCTGCTCTATATTTGCCCATGCTGTTCCCTCCACCTGAAACAATCTTCACTCCCTTCTTCTGGCTAAATTCTACTAATCCGTCAAAATTTGGTTCACATATCCTTTCTTGCACAAAGCTCTCCCTCACCCCCAGTAACAGTCAGGATAGATTGGGTTATGCCGCAGTAACAAACAATGTCCCCCAAAGATCTCAGTAGCTTAAAGTAACAAAAATATATTTCTCTGACACAGGGTGGCAGAAGGGCTCACGTAGTCCTCAGGAACTCGGACTTCTCATGGCTCTGTCTTGACACATGCTTTCCTAATGACAGCAGAGATAGGGAGAAGAGAAAATGGAGAAGTACGCCACCTGACTCTGGAAACTTTCATCTGAAGCTACATGCCATTGTTGGTCAAACAACAACTAAATCGGGTCCTTTGTCCCCCACCCCCCTGAGTTCAGCAGGCAGAGATGTATAGTCTCCCACAGGGAGGGACAGATGGGGATTACGGGTGCCAGTGTGGCCTCCTGGAATCCCAGGAGGTAGGGCTAGGTGCATCCTCTGTCTCAGCCCTTCCTGCACTGTTATCCCTCGTCTGCTGGCTGACTTGTCTTTCCCCCGAGAGAGTGAATTTATGCAGGCAGAGGTCTGGGTGTTATTGCTCTCAGAGTCCCAGGATTTGGCTCAGAGGAGACACTTGGCCGTTGGTGGGGGTGAGTGAATGAGTCATCAGACAAGCTTTGCTGAAGGTGGGCCGCAGTGGGCTGTCCCAGCCCCAGTGACTCTCTCCCCACCCTTCTGTAGGCGCCGGGTCCTGGCCATCTCCGATGGGATCGAGCACATTGGGAGCCTCCGCTGGGAGCTGGCCTTGTGTCTCCTGGCAGCCTGGACCATCTGTTACTTCTGTATCTGGAAGGGGACCAAGTCTACAGGAAAGGTAAGAGATCGATCATCAAGCAACTTGCCGTGCACAGGAGAGGGCATGCATTGTACTTGCACAAGCTCAAAGGGAACCCAGAGAGCAATGGGGATTTATGCTGTAAAGGCCAGCATTTAAGATGGGAGGTAGAAAGAGCACTGGACCTGGAGTCCACTCAGGAGCCCAGAGTTAGCTCTACCCAGCTCCATCACTTCTTTGCTGCTTACCTTAGGACCACTTAGTTCTACATTTTGAGCCTCAGTCTGTGCTTCTGTGAGATAATAAAGGCTTGCCCTGTCTGTCTTGTTGAGAGTCACACAAGGTAAGGGGGGCTAAAGTGCTTTGAAAACGGATAGATGCTGAATTCCTGCGATGATTTCTTTGTTCTTGTCATGTATGAGGGCAGTGGAGGCTGGCTGCCTCCCCTCACAGACTCAAAGATCTTAGGTCTATGTTTCTCCCTCCCCTGGAGTCTGTGGTGGGAATAGCAGTCGCTTCAATCTTGCTGTACCTGTGGCCTCCAGGGTCACCGCCTAGTTAGGGGAAAGAGGAAAGGGAGAGGGTGGCTGGCTTGAAACTCCCTTGGCCTGGGAGTTACACGTGGCTCTTCCACTCCCAGGCCGTTGACCAGATTCACCTACTGCAAGGGAGGCTGGGAAGCAGAGGGGATCACAGAGACTCCTGGCGAGTGAGCTCAGACTCTGTGCCACAAGGTTATAGACATGTGGCTCGTGGCTGAGTCCAGCCCACTTATGTGTTTGCCTTTAAAAGTGGGGAGTACCACAGTGTAGAAATCAGGAGATATCATGTGCAAAAAAGAAATCTGACCTTGGCATCCCTTGGACAGTAAGATTTGGCAACCTGGACTTGCACGTGGTGGAACTGAGCAGCAGCCACCTCCTTCCCAGGAGAGGGTCTCTGGTTACCTACAGTCTTCACCATTCCCTATCGCCCCTGGACCTGTGGCTGAGTGTCAGTGCCTGTGGTTTTCTTGTTTTGTTGTTGTTGTTTTCTCTCTCTCTCTCTCTCTCATGAAAAAGAGGAAAACAAAGCATTTCTTATGCCTGGGTCACCCTGGTCACATCACTCCTTGCCTGCCTGCCTGCCTCTTGTAGGCAGTTTTTTTAAATTCTGTTCTCAGTTCTTGACTGGGGCAGAGTCTGGAGATAAACAGGAAACAGGAACTTGGCAACATCAGACCCTCTCGCAAAAGATAGTCCCCTTAGCTCCCACAGTGGTGGCAAGATGGAGAAGAAGATGCTAGAATGTTTGCAGTGGGCACATCTGCAGGAGAGAAGTAAGGAGAGCACAGAAGAGAAATTAAGGAGCACTGTGCTATGGGCCGTAAGGGCGCTGAGTTGTCTTAATAAAGGAGTAGAGACTCAGGTCCCTTTAGCCAAGGGGGCTGTGCTGATCTTAACTTTCTCCAGGCTGTATCTTAAAGACAATAGGACTTTTCTCTTTCTGAATATGAGATTGTTGCATTCTTGATCGACATCTTGAAATGGCACGCACACGGTTCCCTGTCCCCTCCTCACTGTCTCTTCTGGCTAACGAGGAGGAGAATGACCAGAGGGGCTAAGAACCAGGATTCACACCCCAGGTCTGTCACTCTCTAGCCGTGACCCTGGGCACATCACTCGACTTCTCTGAGCCTCGATTTCCTCCTCTGTGAAACGTGATTGTTAAGTGAGCTTGCCGTGTGTGGCAGTTGTGAGGAAAAAATGTAAGGATGGACTGCCAGTGCTTGACAGACCATCCTAACTGTAACTAATTATAAATGCTGCATAAGTGGGGATCTTTAAAAGTCTTGTTTTGAAGATAAAACCATTCATTCAAGAAGTAGTTTTGACTTTGGGAGGCTGAAGTGGGTGGATTGCTTAAGCCCAGGAGTTCGAGACCAGCACGGGCAGCATAGCGAGACCTCATCTCTATTTAAGAAAAAAAAAGTTAGCTGGGTATGGTGGCACACACCTGTAGTCCCAGCTACTTAGGATGCTGAGGTGGAAGAATCACCTAAGCCCAGGACGTCAAGGCTGCAGTGAGCCATGATCATCATGCTCATACCACCACACTCCAGCCTGGGTTTCAGAGTGAGACCCTGACTCAAAAAAAAAAAAAAAAAAAAGAAAGTCATTTTGTCTCTCTCTTATATACCTAGCATTATCTGATGGGTATCTGTGCTTCGTGAACCATGCAGAGAAGAGAGGTGGTGTCGTGGTTGGTATTATTATTACTTCCATTACGGTTGCCACCTCTTGGGAATTGACTCAGAGGCCTGAGTGGGGTAGTGATCATGTGTGGCTGCAGGGAGGGCTGCTCGTGTGAGGTTTTGTGCATGTGTGTGCTTGGGCCATCCAGGTCCATGTGTGGCCTTGAGCTCTTGGGCCCAGCACATGGACTACGGCAGTTTGGTTCCCTTCAGCCCTCAGGAGGAAACTCCCACAGTGGGACCCTTGCGGCTGACTGGGTGACAGATCCCTAGTGGCAGAGCATTCTCTGCAAGAACTGGTTTCAAGGAAGGCAGACAGCTGTGATCTTAGAGATTTAGGAAGAGGCTTATGGGGAAGGAAAGGGAGTAAGTGCTTATCCGTTGCCTTCCAGTTACGTGGACCTTTGCTGGCGCGTCAGATCCTCACAGTGGGGGTAGCTACCGCCCCTGTTTTATCAATGGAGAACCTGATGCTAAGAGAGGGTGGGCAGCCTGGCTGTGGTCATGTGGTGGCTCTGTGCCCAGACCTGCTTCCTCCTTGCCTTTCCTTGGACCCTTGATGAGGATGTAGAACACCTGTGGTATCTCAGGTGATGTCCTTTCACACATCCTCCCTGGGCCCCGTTTTCTCATCCCCGGGAGAGGTGGTAGTGACAGCAGTAGTAATAATAATTATCAGTAGTGACGGTCAATACTGACTGAGTGCTCCACACGCCTGTTGCATTCAGGCCTTGGAGAGCCCCTTGAGATGGGGGCTGTTACTATCTCCATTTTACAGACGAGAAAACTGAGGCTTGGCAGGATCAAATAACCTGCTCGAGGACCTTCCAGCAGGAAGCAGAAGGCTGGGATTAACTCCAAGTGTGAGTGACCACACAGCTGGTGTTGTGGATGGGTGTACTGTCATGCCTGCTGTCTGTGATGTGGGGACAATGATGATTTTCTCAGAGGCTGGTTATGCGGAAGTTATCAACGATACACCCTAGCACGTGGGAAGTGCTGCGGCTCTGTCTACACGGTGCTTTAAAGGGGAATGCTGACATCTACGTGCTGAGGTTCCATGGGTCACATCTGACAGTATAAAGAAAGCAGACATCCCCAGATCATCAGGTGAACTTTTTAGTGGGGCATCTGGCACTTTTGTTCCTCCTGATGACTTGCTTCACTTTGGAGACAAGCCCAGCACCCAGAGGTATTTTGGGGTTCTGTACAAAAACAGCTAAAAATAAAAGAACAGGTTACCTGAGACTTCCTGCATGGGCAGAGATCGCCCCTGCCCCTTGTCTGCGGGACCCTGGCCAGAGCCATCTTCATGAGGCTGTTCAAGGAAGAAGTAACCCATCTCCTTGTTGTCGTCCAGGCAGCAACTGAGTCAGTGTTTCCTCTTCATCTCCACCTTGGGGCTCCAGCCTGCTTCCCACACTCAGGCCTCTGCAGAAATTCATGCTAATAGTTAATGTTTATCGATTCAAGAGAAACCTCCTGGTCCCCTCCTATCTCTGAGGTAAAAACTCTACCCTCAACTTCCACTCATTTCATTGAGCATTTCTCCTGCTCTGGGAGGCATCTGTTAGAGGCCTGGCCTTTGAGAAGGCGGTTCTCTATATGGAAATTTGGGATTGGAGCATAATTAAGTCGATCCCAGCTGATTTGGGAGGAGTCCCAGCAGCATTGGAACTAGCACCCCCCCCCCCCCCCCCGCGCGTGCACAGGAATGACTTCCATGTGTGTTCTTTACCATACCCTCTTGGTCCTGTCATCACGTGCCTCACAATCTTCTGATATCACAGAGGGGCCAACCCTCAGGGTCGCCCAGGGATCAGAAGAGCAACTGTACTCTCAGAAGAAGCTACTCTGAACAAGAGAGATACTTCCTAGGTCCCAGCATCAGTAGATCACGGGGTATCTGCCACATAACTATTGCTTAGTGGACATTTGTGGAATGACTGTGTCCCATCTGTGCCTTGGGCTCCCTGGGAGGTGCTGGGGATACTACAGAGAGGACAGTGGACAGTCTTGTTCCCACAGAGCATGCAGCCTGCTAGGGTAGAGCCCAGACAAACAGGTGGTTGAAACTCAGAGCATCCATACTGGTATTTAATGGTATGACAACTCGGGGACTCTGACGGCTGAGAATTGACTCAAAACATTAGAACATGGTATGTCAGAGTTGGAAGGCATCTTGGTTTTACAGCCCATCTCCTATTTTCCAAATATGGCAGTAAAAGCCCCGAGAGGTTGCAAGGTCTGCCCAAGGCTCCCCTGCCTGGAAGGAGAGCTTAGATTCAAACTTGGGTCTGTCTGCCTTCCCTAGGCCTGGTCTTCATATGTCCTATACCTTCAGCTGAGAGTTCATGGGCAGGTTCAACACAACCACATTGATCATGGTTCTGAGCACACGGTAGGTGCTCATTAAGCAGTGTATTTCCCTTCCTCAGTAAAATAGCTGCAGTTCTAGTTCTGCATAGTTCTCCTTCTCTCTAGGCACTATTGGAAATTCCAGAAATCTCCCATGACTAAAAAAATTGTATATTAAGTCCTGAGAAAGCACAGGACTTTAAAACACTTGTTTTCTTCAGGAAGAAACCTCAGACTGTCTGTAACTTCCAGATGAGAAACGATTTCCCTCTGGATATTTGGAATGAGGATAATTAAAATCAAGTGACCAGGATACCGAGACAGCTTTGTGAATTTCCTAAGTCCTTGTTTTATGCATCAGCCAAAACCATCTTGCCCATCCCTGCCGCCAGCTCCTTCTCCTGGCCTCATAGGCATGAAACCCCTAAGTCATTTTGGACACCCCTTA